TTTGATTTTTTTGATGGCCTTACTGGTTTTTAGGAAATAATGAGAGACTATAAATCGATGTAGAATTTAGTTCTCTATCGGGGACACTGATTTATCCGACCGGAATACGTATCTTTGTGAATATTCTGGTGTGTGGTCTCTGGAGATCTTTCATCTAGAAGTATTTGATTTTTTGGAGGGTCTTACTGGTTTTTTGGAAATAATCGGAGGCTATCAATCGATGTAGACTTTAATTCTCTATCAAGGACAGTCATTTGTTTTAGTGGGACAAGTAGTATTTTGAATATTATGCTGAAATCTGCGTTTTAGCTCTATTTTTCGGGCATAAAAAGTAATTTTAATTTTTTTTGTGGCACTATATGATTTTTTATTGGATATCTGAGACGGCCATTCGAACCGAAATTCAATTCTGCATTCAGGACAGTTATTTATTTGACCAGGACAACTCCTGAATCGAATATTTTTTTAAAATACTCGAATATGCTGATAACTTTATGGACATCATAATAAATGAAACTTCATACGAGAACCAGAATTTAGTCTTCTTTCTCCGCATTAGCGAGCTTTACATTCTCAAGTAATTTCTACATGTTTTCAGCTGTTATTCTGATCTAATTCGCATTAGTCAGTCAGTCACTAAGAGATCGTAAGATATAAATTAGATCGATGTTTAGCAGTTAATTCACAAATGGTCTACTAATCATCGATTTAGTAATTTATAAATGACGAACGAAAAGAGTCGAATGCATACAAATGACACTTACATGTTGATGTCGTTACCGTCGTTCTGATAGTCGTTGTTGTCAATCGTGTGGTGGTGGTTGCCCTTGTGGTTGTTGTTGCTGATTCTGTAGTAGTTCAAAACAAATCGATCAAAGATGAATCCACAATATATTTTTGGTTTTTTGACATTGACCAATCCGTGTTTTTTTTTCTATAAACTGTTGAACTTCTCTTGGCTTACGGCAAAAAGATAAACTCTGAGAAATTTGTCTCCAGTATAGCTAACTCATCATTGTTTTAGCCAAGAGGAAATATAACTGTCATTAAAACAAATTTGAGCACAATGCATGAAATAGATGATACATGATAAAAAGACAAACGGAGGACACTTCAAAATTTTCAGTAGAAAATCTTTGAAGCTATCGAAGTTAGTTTATTGAGTAATTTAGACGAAAGAGTAACTGGAAAGGAAAATCTTATTCAAATGGAATGAGCGATTGTATTTTATTGCTATTTTTGCCGATTTCTAGTATAAATATACAGCGTTTTTCCTATTTAGTAATGAAGACAGTTTTATAAAATGTACAAATACGTTGCTTCTCCGTAAGAGAAGCATTCTTCCGCTATGTGAAGAACCAAAAGTGGCAAATTACCTTTACAATTTTTGGTAAGCCATGGGAAAGTGAAACAAATTGCTCGAGACAATCGTCTAGATAAATGTTCGAATATCAGGGATGACAACGATTCAAAAGAAACTCGGCATTTACTTACCTCTTTCCTTTGGAAAAACTTGTTAATAGTTCAGATTGGTCAAATACTTCATTAGTCTAAAGTATAAGAAAAGTGATTGTAAGACATACATAATCAAAGAAA